TCCTCCTACATCACCATGGTCAATGATGTCATAGTCACGCAGGTAACCAAAGAGATAGTCAGGAACCAATGAGGATCTGCGAGGAAAGTCACACGTGACTCGAAACATAGTGGACTTTGATCGAATGTAGTTTATGAAGTGCGTGCCTTGGCGATGGTCATTCCAGTTTGGATTGTTATGATTTCGCGCAATAAATTGATGAAAGACCATTGCACGATAGATGTCAATTTTGGATATGGAATAAGACTCAACGAGGGTCCAGGCCCTGTTTTTAGACTCAAATGCACAAAACACAAGACGGTTTCTCAAACCTGGAAGATGCATGTAGTATTTTCCGTTTTTTGGATGACTGCCTTTTGGCGTATGATATCTCAATACGTCAAGGCACGAGGTGAACACGTGTGTTTTGTCACACACAATGCCGTGGTAGTTCAGCGTACACGTGCAGGAGAACTTCTTTTTTGGACTGATGCAGTGTTCTACGCATGTCCCTCCGTTCCTGCAGGGCTGAGATCGACAGCAACCATTATAGCACACACCTGGTTGTACAATGTCAGATTTCTACAAGAAAACATTGATAATTACAATTGAAAATGAAAATCAAATTCAGAAGACATAAATAGCATCATGACGTAATGCATGATTTCATAATTTCAAAATGTTTGATCATTGATTGAACACCGTTAAAAATTGTTGTTTTAAGATTGGAGGTCATTTGTCCACCCAAAAAATTGTATTGAAGAGTCGTGTAGGTCCACTTCGTACGCAAACTGCCCAAGTCTTCTTTCATTCATGCAGCACAACATGGCTGCAAATTGTTTAACGCTGAGCCCCATGATAGCTGTACCCATGTTGTATGGACGACTTGCGCTATCATCGTAGACAAAAGCAGCGTTGTCGGTCTAATTCGGATACGTTTAATGGATGAGGCATTGGAAGTCTTGGGTGGACAAATGACCTTACATCTTAAAATCTAAATCTAAATCTAAAAACTCAATTCAACATCTTTGATTCTCTATTGATTCGACTATATACAACACCACCAAACGATGGTATAAAAGGTAAAATATTTTGTTATCCAACAGTGTTGGATTGTGTTCGCTGCCATCCAACAATCTATTCGCCTGGGGTTGGTAATTCACTAACTAAACAAGACTTACCCCTTGGTACAGTGTCTGTTTAAGATCAAAGTACACGTATCCTGACTCAGCTGTAAAATTGTCAGCCTTGAAAGTCTTATCCTCATCCAGCAACTCACATCTTGCATCTTTCATCTGGCACGCCTTACAACGACAATCTTGGACGCAATGATGGTAGCACTTGACTGGATCATTAGTGGTGATGTTGTTGTATGAGTATCCTTTGAGATGTTTTCCATGGAAGATGTCTTGGGTCTCTGGGAAAAGTCGTCCAGAATAACAGGTTCCAATGCAGTAAGAATGACACCCAACAAAAAAGATGTGCAAGATCGCTATAATAGGAACGGCGTATTGAAATTTCATGATTCTTGAACGTGTTGTGAAAGAAACTTTGGCAAATTAGAATTTGTAGAATCGCGATTCTTCAGATAATTGACTACGTTCGTCTTGATTCCGTTAGAATTCCACCAATGGCGATGATGCTATGACACCTCTAAACGGCTGGAGTACATGTGTTAACCTCTCATGAAATATTCAGAAAGACGCAATAAAGACATTTTAATTTGCAATTTCGCTTGTAAATTATCCAAGGATTTTTTTCAAATTCGCAAATCAGGCCTTGAGTGTAGGAGAAGTTGCTAGTGATTTGAAAACAAGAAATAACTATGACATATCAGGCTTTGTTACTTGATTTTATTCAATGAATCAGTTTTTCCTAGTTTACACATACTTAAACATGCATGACGCGAATGTAAAAGAATATTAAAAAGATATGAAAAAGAATGACATCTTGACAAGAGATGAACGTGTTAAAACTTTGCCAGTGACAACAGGTGACAAATTCGATAGCAAACTATTCAGTGTGTGAATATTTGAATATCTAAATATATAGTCCTCTTTTTTTGTAAAAAAAAGAATATGTATTTTTTATCAGAGGAGTATCATTATTATTATTATTATTATTATCATTAAAATCTCTTAAAGATCACATATACTGACTATTGATATTACTACACCTAAATTTTTACAATGTTACTATAATAGATATAACTGAAATGGAGCAATTACATTGTGACTGTTTTGACTCTAAATACACCATATTATCAAGACTTAGCAGGCGTTTTTAAATAGGTAAAACTCCTGCGGCGAAATTAGGACCTTCTGTAAAAGTTCCGATCTCAGCCGGAAGCATTTAAACTACATGGAGCTGTTACTTGGAAGTATTGTCACGTGTCCAGCTTCCTTTCTCGCACTCTTCTAATTCTCGTTGTTGGGTTTGCATTCTCAGAATAGTACTTTTTATTTGAACCTATATTTTTGCGTTAATATTCTTAACTGAACAAATCCAGCAAGGTCTAGTCAATTTCTAATATGTCAGTTACAATACAATACTGGCAACATATAGGTCATGTGCAGATGCTCTAGAGAAGCTAGGGAAACAATGTCTGCCGCCATATTTCGCTTAGTTTCAGAATCAGTTGGTTCGATTCCTTTCCTACGTGGTCTAACGTATTGACTTATTCTTTTACAAATCTTTCCCTAACCAGAACTGAGTAGTTGAGCTCTCTTTTTCGTTGCATTTTGTTGTGTTAATAACGGGGTTATAGTAGCCGATCAAATTATCTTCGCTATCTGTACAGCCAGTACCACCATTCAAACCACATCTCCAACAGCCATCAATGTGGAAATGGTACTGTCCAGTTGTTTGCAAAAATCACATCCATGAATTGTCAATATTACTCGAAATCGAACAAATGAATTTGTTTTTAACTATTCCAAAATGTTATGCAATAGTTTGAAGTTAATGACGATGTCTACCGCTTTTCTGGATCTCATCAATTTTTTGAGATATTTGGGAAAAACGAATTTCGACAAAATGCAAATTCCGTTGCCTAGGTAACGTTGATAGAGCTAAATATTATACCAAACAAAACTTTTGTCAATGCTTTAATACTGGTCCAAACACGACACACATCGGTGCATAGAAAGATTTTCAAAAAGCGAATTTAAATTAAGAGGTATGGTCGAAAAACAACTGTAGGAAGCCACCTTAAAAATCAAGCATTTTCTGTTACTAGTAAAAGAAGGGCTATTGATTTGAAGAAATAACTAGATGACATAACAAACTTTGCCACTTAACTTAACTTTGCAGACTTTTTCTTCATTGTTTACACACATTGTAGACGCAATAAGCTCACATTTAATGTAAATACGGCACGAAAAAAAATACTCAAAGGAATGAAATCTTGACAACAACACACCAAGGCTAAATTCCAAATAGCAACACAAAGAATATACTTTTTAAATTCAAAAAAACTATTTGACAAAGACTGCAAACTCAAAAACAAGAATCAGAAGCATGGACACGTAAAAATCATCTTCAGTAACATTGCTTAGCGTTTCGATATCCTTTGAATGTCTGCAGGTAAGTAGGGACATTGGAAAAAAATCCTTATTCCGCTCCAGGGGTACGACCTAATCAAGAACACCTGCTAAGTCTTGCAATGAAAATTTTTTCTAATAGTCAAGACGGTCACATGCAGAACAGCTTCACTTATCACTACGAAATTCTGGATACTGAGTCAAACTATAAAGATATAAATCAGAAAATTTCTTTCCCAAGTTCCATTTTCTTTTCCCTTTTTTTAATTATAAACTTGTCCACTTGTATGTTTTTGCAAACAACATACTAATCTATGTTATATTTCTTTAATTGCACCTTCCAAGAATGGTTTTAACTAACGGATAGCAATATTTCTTTGTATTGATTAATCTAAATAATGTATTGTTATTATTTCCAGTGATTGCAAGCTGTAATTGTGAAATTTTGGTGTAGTATATACATTAATTTTTAAATTTTGATATCCAATAGAATAGTTTGCTTTTTTCAAAGCTCAACGTCAGGAACGTCGATCGAGCAAAAGTCTAAAATGTTTTTTCAATAACTAATTCGGACATAATTTAAGATGTGCACTGATGCTGTCGTGAGGCTAAGAATATAATGTCTACAACTGGTTGCTGTTCGATCGCTCAATTTCAGAATCAGTTGATTCGACTCCCTTTCTATTGAGCCAATCGTTTTGTTTATGATTGTTCATCTTTTGGTTCAGCCTTTTAGATTTCACCTCCAAGCCAGAATTGAGTAGTTGAGTTCTCTCTTTCGGTGCATTTTGTCATTTCAATAACAGGGCTGTAATAACCGAAGTTATCTTCGCCGTCGATGCAGCCAGCACCAGTCAAACCACAATCCCTCGATCCAACACAGTCAATATGGAAATGGCTTTGTCCAGCTTTTTGCCAAACCTGTGCACTCTGGTTAAAAAAGTCTTTGCCTCTGATGTTAATGCGAGCAANCTCACATCTTTCATCTTTCATCTGACACGCCTTACAGCGACAATCTTGGACACAAGATGAGTAGCACTTGACTGGATCATCAGTGGTGATGTTGTTGTAGGAAAATCCCTTGAGATGTTTTCCATGGAAGATGTCTTGGGACTCTGGGAAAAGTCGTCCAGAATAGCAGGTGCCAATGCAGTGAGATTGACATCCGACTGCAACGAAAAAGGTTTGCAAGCTCGCTATAATCGGAATGGCGTAGTCAACCTTCATGATTCTTGAACGTGTTTAATATGAACTGTTATTAAGCAGCTTCTGAAATGTCATGAATTATGCAAAATACAATTTATGGAGTCGTGATTCTACAGTTTTAACACCTGAAGTTGATTCATTCAAAACTTAACCAGTGGCGAAGATGCTATGTGATGCGAAAAAGAGCCAAACGGCTGGAGTACATGCGTGAACTCCTCATAAAATATTTAGAATGACAAGATAATCACATCTTAATAATTTTTCGTTTTTACTTAAAGTCATTAAAAGATTTTTCAAATTTATAAGAAAATTACACGTTCGAGGTTTCTCTATATAGTGGAACTACGAAATTAGGTATTTTACAACACTCTCGAAGATAATGAATCCGTATCTCCGGGCGCCCATGTAATATCCTCTATATATGGCATATCAGACGTTGCCACTTAACTTAACTTTGCAGACTTTTTCTGGGTTTACAAGCATTGTATACGCAATAAATTCACATTTAATTCAAATGCGGCGCGAATACAAAAAAGAGAATTCTCAAAGGAATCAAATCTTAAAAGAGATGACCCTGCTACAACATGGCAGGCTAAATTCATAAGAGCAACATAAAAAATAGACTTTGAAATGGAAAATTTCTAAACCATTTAGAAAATAAATAAATGGAATGCAAACTCAATCGAAAACGAGAATCAGAAGCGTGGACACGTGAAAATGATCTTCAGTAACATTGCTTAGCGGTTCCATATATCCTGTGGCAAAATTCTTCATTTCGCCCCAAGGGGGAAAACTTAATCAAGAACAGCTGCAAAGTCTTGCATTGACAAATTATAGAGTCAACAAAGTCACAATTGCTACATGCAGAACAGCCTCTCTTTTGATTACGAAATACTTTCAAATTATAAATATATAAATCATAAACTTTTTCCGTCCGCTTTTTTTCCAGTTGTTTACTTTTGTAAATTGTAATCGAATACTTTTTTTATTCTAACTAATGAGTAGCTGGATATTTCTTTGTATTTACTCGACTTAAATGTAAATAAAGTATTTTTTTTTTGTTATTTCAGTGATAGCAAGCTTTAATTGTGAAATTTTGGTGTAGTAATATACATACATTGATTTTAATATTTTGATATCCAATAGAATAGTTTGCTTTTCTCAAAGCTCAACGTCAGGAACGTCATGACAAGTTCTATTAATGTCTTTACAATAAAATTCGTGAATAATTCAAGATGTGCTGATGCTGTAGTGAGGCCTAAGAAAACAATATCTACAAATTTCTGTTCGCCCACTTTAAGAATCAGTTGGTTCGATTCTTTTTCTGAGTAGCCAATCGTGTTAATCATGGTTTCATTTTTTGGTTCAGTATTTTACATTTCTTCCCCTAACCAGAATTGAGTAGTCGAGTTCTCTTTTTCGGTGCATTTTGTTGTGTTAATAACGGGGTGATAGTAACCGAAATTATCTTCGCCATCGATGCAGCCAGCACCAGTCAAACCACAATCCCTCGATCCAACACAGTCAATATGGAAATGGCGTTGTCCAGCTTTTTGCCAAACCTGTGCACTCTGGTTAAAAAAGTCTTTGCCTCTGATGTTAATGCGAGCAAAGTTAAAACATTCACCATCTACGTCACCATGGTCAATGATGTCATAGTCACGCAGGTAACCAAAGAGATAGTCAGGAACCAATGAGGATCTGCGAGGAAAGTCACACGTGACTCGAAACATAGTGGACTTTGGTCGAACGTAGTTAATGAAGGACCGGCCATGGCGATAGTCATGCCAGTTTGGATTTTCAAAATTTCGAAAAATCATTCCGCCCTGATGAAAAGCTATTTTACGATAGATGGCAACTTTGGAAATGGAAAAAGACTCTACGAGGGTCCAGGCCCTGTTTTGAGACTCAAATGCACAAAACACTTGACGGTTTATCAAACCCTGAAGGTGCAAGTAGTATTTTCCGTTAACTGGATGGCTGCCTTTTGGCGTATGATATCTCAATACATCAAGGCACGAGGTGATCACGTGTTCTTTGTCACACACAATGCCGTGGTAGTTCAGCGGACACGTGCAGGAGAATTTCTTTTTTGGACTGATGCAGTGTTCTACGCATGTCCCTCCGTTCCTGCAGGGTTGAGATCGACAGCATCCATTATAGCACACACCTGGTTGTACAATGTCAGATTTCTACAAAGAAAAAAATTTACAATTACAATTTTAAATGAAAATTAAATTCAGAAGATGTAAGAAACATGAATAGCATGACGTAATTCATGATTTCATAATTTCCAAATGATCGATCATAAAGATTTAAGGTCAACCCAATAATTGTATTATTAGGTCTATATTGTATTCAACCTGCCCATGTCGTCTTTCATTCATGCAGTACAACATGCCTGCAAATTGATTTACACTGAGCACCATGAAAGTTATATCCATGTTGTATGGACGACTGCCATCGTGTAGACAAAGCAGTGTTGTCTAAGTAATGTGGCTTTTAAAAATACTTACGTTGATGTACAATGCATTGGAATTCTCGGGTAGGCGAATCTTAAATCGAAATCGAAAAACACAATTCAACATCTTTGATATTTTATTGATTCGACTGTATCCAACAAAACCAAACGATGGCATAAAAGGTAAACTGAATATTGGGTTATCCCGAACAGTGTTGGATTGTGTTCGTTGCCATCCAAAACAAACTTTGTATCGGGGTCGGTAATTCTCTATCTAAACAAGACTTACCCCTTGGTACAGTGTCTGTCTAAGATCAAAGTACACGTAATGCAACCCGTCTTTAAAGTCATCAGGCTTAGAAATCTTGTCCTCATCCAGCAACTCGCATTTTGCATCTTTCATCTGGCACGCCTTACAACGACAATCTTGGACGCAATGACGGTAGCACTTGACTGGATCATCAATGGTGATGTTGTTGTAGGAGTGTCCTTTGAGATGTTTCCCATGGAAGATGTCTTGGTTCTCTGGGAAAAGTCGTCCAGAATAGCAGGTGCCAATGCAGTGAGAATGACATCCAACAAAAAAGATGTGCAACGTCGCTATAATAGGAACGGCGTATTGAAATTTCATGATTCTGGAACGTGTTGTTAGAGAAACTTTGGCAAAGTAGAATTTGTAGAATCGCGTTTCTTCAGATTGAATACGTCCGTGTTGATTCCGTTAAATTTCCACTAATGACGAGCCGGATGTTATGCCACCTCTAAACGGCTGGAGTACATGTGTTAACCTCTTATGAAATATTCAGAAGGACGCGATAAAGATAATTTGCATTTATTTCGTTTGTAAATTATCCAATGATTTTTTTAAATTCGCAAAGCAGGCTTTGAGTATAGAAGAACTTTCAGGAGAAGTTCTAGTGATTTGAAAACAAGAAATAACTATGACATCAGTTTTATTCAATGATTCAGTTTTCTCTAGTTTGCACAAACATTTAAACATGTATGACGTCATTGAACAAAGATATGAAAAGGAATGACATTTTGACAAGAGATATATTATTCTCTTTTTGGTAAAATAGAATATGTATGTTTTATCTGACTACACCCAAATTTTACAATGTTACTATTACAATAGCAATAACCGAAATGGAGATTTCAAAGTAACTGATTTGACTCGATCTAAATACACCATTGTCAAGACTTAGGCCATGCTCCTGCGGCGAAATTAGGATCTTAAAGTTCCTACTCAGCTGGACGATGTGGAGCCGCTAAGCAATTATGTTTCTGGAAAGTATTTTCACGTGTCCAGCGTCTTTTCTAGCACTCTTCTAATTCTCGTTGTTGGGTTTGCATTCTCAGTGTCGTACTTTGCTAAGTGGTTTAGTATTTTTTATTTGAACCTATTTTTTTGCGCTAATATTCTCATTGAACAAATCGAGCAAGGTCTAGTCAATTTCTAATATGTCAGTTACAATACAATACTGGCAACATATAGGACATGTGCAGATGCTCTAGAGAAGCTAGGGAAATAATGTCTGTTCGGTCAGTTTCAGAATCAGCTAGTTTGATTCCTTTCCTCCATTGCCCAACGTATTGACTTAGTCTTTTACATTTCTTCCCCTAACCAGAACTGAGTAGTTGAGCTCTCTTTTTCGGTGCATTTTGTTGTCTTAATAATGGGGCTATAGTAGCCGAAATTATCTTCGTTGTACGTACAGCCAGTACGGCCAGTCAAACCACATCCCCAACAGCCATCAATGTGGAAATGGTACTTTCCAGTTTTTTGCCAAACACTTGCACTCTGGTTGAAAAAGTCTTTGCCTCTGATGTTAATGTGCGCAAATTTAAAACATTTTCCTGTTACATCACCATAATGAACGATGTCATAGTCACGCAGGTAACCAAGGAGATAGTCAGGAACCAATGAGGATCTGCGAGGAAAGTCACACGTGACTCGAAACATAGTGGACTTTGATCGAATGAACGTTATGAAGCTCAGACCTTGGCGGTGGTCATCCCAGTTTGCATTGTCCAAATTTCGCGAAGATTGGTCCTGATGAAAAGCCACTCTACGATAGATGTCAATTTTGGAAATGGAAAAAGACTCTACGAGGGTCCAGGCCCTGTTTTGAGACTCAAATGCACAAAACACTAATCTTTTTTTATATCTCTCTGGAAGATGCTCGGCTGTTATGTAGTATTTTCCGTTTGCTGGACGATTACCTTTTGGCTCATGATATCTTATGACGTCAAGGCATGAG